ATTGTTCCCAAAATCTGACTTAGAGTACTTTTGTATGAAGACGAGTTAGTCACTTTGTGAAAGTCTGTAAAATATTAATTTATATAATTCTAATAATCAATAAATAAGTTTTTTGAATAATTCAAAGTTAGAAAATATTTTAACTAGATAGATTTCTTTTAAAAAAAAATTGTTTACCTTAAATAAGAATCTCTTTGAATTATTTTTATTTATTTATTTATTTATTAGCATATTTAATTTAGAGACTCATTGTTTTTAAAATAATATACAATTATTAATTATGATTCTGGTAGATACCAATCAATCAAGGGAATAAATGTTGTTTCTTAAATCTAACTTGGAATATCTAGTTGAGACTTTGTTTTATTCAATCCAAACTAGCTTAGTGAACTTCTCATATTTTTTAAGTGAGTATAATCCTTCAACTAATAGATGAGTTAATTATCATGTAATGTCTCAATAAAGACATGGCATGATGGCATGATTGCGGGTTAAAAAAAAATTATCCGCTAAATTAGTTATAATAAAGTAAAAAAATGATCAAATATACATGGTACCGTATACAATAATTATCAATTAGTATAAGTTATTGTTATTTTATACAGTATACCGCTTCTAACTATTCTGGAAAATATCTGTCATGTGACCTATTTTCTTTCAAATCGTGTATACTTTTTTTCCGCGGTTCTTTAAGTTTACCTTTTAAGTAAAAAGTTTCCAAAAATAATATATACGTAGCACCGCAAATAAGGTCAATCGGAATTCATGTATGACAACTCCGAAATAAAAACTTTCTTCTCGTTGAAGGGTTCGACGGCAATATTATTCTATTAGTTAGGTAAGTACTTGGATTAAAAAAAGTACAATATAACCAATACCTTTTTTTTTCAAGACCTCGCCAAAAAGATTCATTATATAAAAGTTTTTTTCTTACTCTTGTATCCTATGTAACACATGTATAATAACTTCGAAGCAAGTCATGATGGGTCAAATAAATAAAGTGAAACCAAACAAGTTATCCTTTTGGTATTTAGCATTATGTTTTTTAATATTTTTGATACCGGGTAAGTTTTCTCAAATCGAATTCTCTTTTCTTTCTAAGGCTTTTGATTCACATTTCTCTCTTAATTGATAGCAATAAGATCTCAATTTATTACAACTTACACGATAACACCCACAGCATCTGTGGATATCAGTAATCCTGGTACAGTAACGATAACCTCATCAACTACTTCATATTACACACCCACTCCGAATCCTCCTCATAAAACAACAGTCCAAACTAATTCCGCCTCTTCGGAATCCGACAGTAGTACTATAAATGTGGGTATAGTTATAGCTGCCGTAATGGTAGGCGCAGTCTCGGCAGCCGGAATCATTTTGTTGATCAGATATTACATTAAAAAAAGGAGGGATATTGATGATGATCCTGATGTGTTTAATATGAGCGATCGGACTGATGATTTTGATTTTATCCGTCCCTCTTATGGAAACGACGAGAATATCAGAGTGTCCGAGAATAATGATGTTCACAGGAGTGATCAATATCCAGACTTAAATAGGACTGGTAATAGTTCGTACCACGAAATTCCCAACCATCTTCGAAATCCAAGTGGCACGGGAACTGGAGCTGGAAATAACGGAATCCCGGTTAATAATCAAGGATCAAATGTTATGGGAGCTAGAAACGGTTGGCATAACGAGATATCCGGTCACTATCAAGGATCAAATGTTATGGGAGCTGGCGATGATTGGCGTAATGAACCTCCCACTCATTATAAAGCTTATGGTTCTCACGCATCGCCTTATTCTGTCACTAATCTTGTGCCATCCCCTCCCGTTCCTAATCCCGCTCATTATGGTGAATCCTATCGTCATGCCGATCCTTATAGTTGATCTAGATATTCTATTCAACTCTCTAGCCAATAATTTGTATTTATATTTTAAAGAAAAAATCCTCATATGCAGTATATTATATATTTACATATATCTTAACGCGTGTGATCGAGCGAAAATTCGAGTACGCAAGGATTTTTATTAGGAAAAAATGTAAGAAGTGGTAGCAATAATTATCAATCAACCACGTAACCATGAAAGATCTGACAGGTCTCAATTTTAACATTATCCAGGCCAGGTAGATATAGGGTGTTTTACCGCAAGAGCCAATTCGTGCGATGGTGAGGTCTCTCCACGGTATTTGTGGCATTCTAGAATGATACATGGTTAGGAATTTGTAAAATATACAGCACCTAACTTTTCTAATATAATGAACTAATTACTCCACCGATTGTAGCGGTGAGTTATATTTGAATTTTAAATCCAAAAAATTTTTTTTAAAAAAGCAATCATTCAGTTGTTAACAGACAGACATGAGAGAACATGCGCCATTATACGCGAAGACTTCTCGATACTAATCTAATTATTCTATTTATAAATTTCCGTAAACAACTTGCCCACCAAAAACTGTGGCCAATACTGTAGTGCCAACTATCTCCTCTTCTTGTATTCTCATAATATCTCTATCTAACACCACGAAGTCTGCATGTTTTCCTTTTGTTATAGAACCCAACTGGTGAAAAATAAAGAATAAAGAAATTAATTATCGAAAATTTTCATCATGTTTAGAATGTTATTATTTGTATGACTTACGGTGTCTTCATTGAACCCAGCGTACGCGGCGTCAATGGTGAATCCGCGCAGTGCCTCTTCACGAGTAAGTTTTTGTGAAGGAAACCAACCGTCTTTTCCATGCGGCTGGAAGTTTATGATAGATAAATACTAAACGTTGAACAATCCCAAAAGCCTATCTCATGCACCCTACATACCGAACTTCCATTCGTCCATTTCCTTGTAATTGCTGCATAGAAACCTAGAAACGGATTCACGTGTTCGACCGGAAAATCCGAAGATAACGGAAATGCTTTCACACTAACGAAAAGGTTCGCTGTTAGATACTACATTGATTTATTAAATTTTGGAATAATGGTGCCATGTACTTTACCCTGCATCAATGAAAGACCTCCACGCGTATGCGCCCTTAATACGTTCACCACCTAACCTTTGCTCAGCATACGACATGTCGGATGTTGCTGATTAAATGCGTATGCGCGTATATATACGCGCGTTAGTTAAGCACACGGATAAATGCGACATGTCAATTATTAATTTTTCATACCATGTGTCGGCTGCATTGATGGGATGATATTTAATTCGCCGACACGTTTGATATCATCAAGCGTCTTAAGAGTGAAATGAATATTGGAACCGATTATCTCAATTTGGAAACGGATTTATTATGTGCGTTCTTACTTACCAAGATTTGTGCGTGCTCAATTCTAAACCTTAGTTTCTCAGCCAACTTCTCAACTTCTTTGGGAAATTCCTCATCAGTAATATTTCCATTATTCGAATGTAATTTTACATAATCTTGAAAGCACTTTTCATACATGTCTATGATTATGCGATTAGCACGATCTCCTATGCAGTGCGTGTTCACTTGGAATCCCTAAATCGAATTCCGTGATAATATGAGTACGGACAATCATCCGGGTCGGAATTTGTTTTTTTCTTTTTCTTTTTCTTTAAGGTACCTTTTCAATCCATTGATTAATCACAGGCGGCAGTAATGTTGGGTCTGATATTAGCAGACCTTGTTTGGTCGGTTCGTCTTTTTAAAATTTAGAATTTAATGAGACAAATACTCTACTCAAAATTAATATGCAATCTTATTTTTACGTACCGGAATATGGTTCCAAAAGTGCTATGATTAGAAGAAAAAAAGAGATGCGGAGCAAATTGATTGGTCGAAATTCTTAAGTAAAAGCGCACCAATCTCTTGAGGTCACTGACTCACCTGCACCCCAACTTCCCAATGCTCCATCCATAAATAGTTTCACACTTCTCACAGTCAATCTTCCTTCACCCATTCCCTCAATTCGTTCAACTTTATCACCACAATAAGAATTTCGTCGACAATCGACCATTGCGTAGTTCCTTATGTTGAATTCCTCAGGAGACGCGATAATAATTCTTATTTCAAAAAAAAAAAAAAAAAAAAAAATCAAAATCAAGAAGCGGTAAATTTTTAGCACCTCTTTAATGATATAGAATTCCTGTTACCGACTTTTTGTAAAAATCAAGAATGTCAAGAGTAACACCGGCATCATGGATTCCCGTAAGGCCATAAGAATGCATATGATATATAGCTGCTCGGACCCGCGTTAGCAATTGTTTGTCAGTTAACGATGGTTTCTTTTCAACTGTAGTATCAATGAAATGCATGACAGTCAATTAAAAATCGTTAATATACGTACGACCAATGAATTACATTTTGAAATGATGCATACGAACTAATTCCATGGCATTATCTACAAAAATTCCAGTCAATCGATTCGTTTCTTTTTCCCTTCCAATCTCTCCTCCGTCAACCTTATCTGGAATTCGATCCTTTTGCAGGATATTCAATACTCTTTCATTTACCCACAGTGCATGTCCGTCAACACGTAACAATACGATTGGGTACCGAGCGAGTTCCGGGTCCGAATCTATATCTTTCTGAGGAATTCATATGGAAAAACACGTAAATTTAATAAAACCAAGAGCCAAAGAATCTTGAATATTAAATTAAGGAATAATTACAGAAGTGGGAAACGATTTGGATTGCCATTGCGTTTGATCCCATCCCCAACCCGTGATCCATTCTTTTTTGCTGCGATGTGTCGAGATATAGTTTCGAATTCTCTGGAGGATTTCTATTTTGTAATTTTTGACATGACGAATGTAATGAAAATTCTTCAAACAATGTGGTATCTTTTTTGCGAGCGGAAATTTACCATCAATGGATTTGGCGCCACTAAGGTCCACGGAATTCAGCATATCTCCTAGATACATTAAATGCTATTTAAAAGTGAAGTTCGAGAAAATCTTCAGATTTCATATTCGACTTCAAATTTTCAATTATCAAGTCTGAAGCCATTACCGCGTGGGCATCAATCAATCCAGGTATGACGGTCCGACCTTGCAAGTCAATGTGCTGTGCAGAAAACAAATATTCAAATAATTTCTTGTTAATTTACAGTGAATTCAAGAGATTAATCAACACTTTAAAAAAATCCAATTACTTGAAGACCGGTCCATTTTTTCATTAAGTCAAGCCTAGCACCGGCATCCACGAATTTCCCATCCAATACTACGAGCGACTCCACTTTTGAATTTTGTTCATCGACTGTATAAATATTTGCATTGTAGATTATGTACCCTTCGGATCCTCGACTGGAATACGAGTGCATATTCGTTTAAGAATGTTTTATGAGAAAAAGAGTATAATGCTAAAGTACAAAGGACGATCCTTTAAAACGATCATAAAATAATAAAAATATGTTCACACCTTTTATGTAATACAAGAAAAGCACTAATTACCAAGATGATGGTAAAAATTCTTAAGAAATTACAAATTCTATGAGCGTTGTACTCCGATTTTTGGTTGTGGGGTCTGCTTTTTTGCTTTATGAATGATGGGTAAAATTATGACGGAATAAAAAACGAGGACGGTTGATTTTTGGTCAGTGTTTTGAACACGAGGTTGTTAAAATTCAATTTACTTGGACAAAAAAAAAAAAAAGGTATCGTAAGCATCGCCTATCAATAATGCATAAAATGACCACACACTCTAGAGTTTGGTAATAATGGGTCACGTTCACTTGGAGTTTGAGTTTGTTGGACTTCAGTTCCGGACATTTTTTTTAGAAAAAATGACCAAACAAATTTTTGAATGAGTTTTAAAATTAAGTACGCCAAGATGCGCTCAATAAATATGAGATTTAATGCATAAATGACACAACATAATTCCATTCTTGAGAACGACGAATTCCAAAAGAAGGTAATTCGCATTTGTTTGTAGGGCAAGGGAAAAAAAAGTTCTGTGGTCCTTATTGGTCAACGCGTTGGGAGCGATGGGGACTTCCAATTTTTGGCGATATTCAAAAGAATGCTAGTCTAGGTATATCCCAACGCTATCTTCTCTTACTACATACCAACTGATAGCATTTATTATAACATCAATCACAATCTCTTTATTTATGACATTATCAAGCTAATCGTTGGACTTTATCGAAAATGATCATCATTCTTTTTAAATCATGAAAAATCCTTAAATATCTCATGCGACAATAATTTCTACAGTAAAAAAAATTTTTTCAAGAAAGCGCGCGATAATTTAATGTGAAAAAAAAGTTTAGTTTACTATTTATATTATTATACGCATAGTATATGCATACTGTATGTAAAGTTGAATTAAAAGACTTTGTAATAGTTTATAATAGTAAAAATATATATACGTATATCCTAATTCTTATTGTTAAATAAAAACAATTTATCGAGTTTTCTTAACTTAATTAGAATGGTTTTTTTTTAAGTATTTTCATTACACTGTATTTGAATATAATACTGGCAATAATAATAATAATAATAATTTAATTGTTAATTTTCAATTTTTATCATATATAAAAGTTTTAAAATTTACTGTATAATTTTTTTTTCTTACATAATTAAAGCTCAAATATTCAAGAATTAATTAGCTATTCAAATATTCCAATACTTTTTACTTGAATATTAAAAAGAGATTTCAATCTATAAAAAATTATAATTTAAAACTAATAAAATTAGTTTAATTCTAAAGAATATACAGTATATATATATATATAAATAGACCTATTATATTTTTGATAAAATATTCATAAATTAAATAATAATTTTTTTTTTTTTGATAACTAATAAATTATCGATTTTTTAAAACAAATTTACTTTTAAAAATTAAGTAAAATTAATGTTTGTTTTTTTTTTTTATATAAAAAAATTAACATAAACTATCTTTATTAAACCAATAATATATTATAGTTCAAATAACATATTTAAAAAGTTATAAAAACTAATCTAAAAAGAATTTTATGAATAATCAATTACTGTATCATTTATCAATAAGTTTTGTTTTTATTTATTCGAGATAAATATTAAAATAAAATAAAAAATAAAAATAAAAATATTTTCAAATTTTATTTTAAATCTTTATACTGTATATATTCGATTAAGTTATTTTTTAGATAAGTTTTTACAATTATTTAAAGAAAAAAAACTACAATATTAAAATTTATAAAATATTTTTTTAATATTGATATTAAATATTATACAATTTTATATAAATAAAAAAAATAGAAGAAATTATATATAATAAAAAAAAACTTTTTTTGTTAATTCTTTTTTTTCTTAAAATTTCTCTTTTTTAATAATTTTTGAAAAAGGAACAAAATATATAAAACCAAATTTAGCAATACTAACAAAAACCAACAACTATACAATCCTTTTCAAAAAAAATATATAAGGTTTAATAAACAAGTCAACAAATAGAAAAATATATATTAATTACAATAGTATTATACCCTATTAAAATCTTTGAAAGAAAAAAAGATAAAAAAAAAAAATTCAAATCATAATAAGATCAAGAGACCTAATATTAACTCTTCTAGCTTTTAACTAGGCTAGTTCAGATTAATATCTTTTTAAATATTATAAAAAATTTCTATAATATAATAGTTTTAACTGATAAACAAGTTAAAATTTTAAAGTTATAAAAACTTAAGAAAATATCAAAAATCTAAGAAATCATTAGAAACTCAAAAGCAATAGCTAAAGAATATAAATAGCAATACAGTTGCAATATATAAACAACTGATATATAATATAAATATGTATATATTTTTGTAATATACTCAAATAAAGTAAAATTTATATAATATGTCCTCAATATAATAAACATAAAATATGTTTAGTCCTATCAACAATTTCATATTTTATAAAGAAAAAAGAAAACTATAAACTAGAAGTAATAATGGCTAATATTCCAAAAGAATCTAAAAATAAAATCAATTAAGGCTTATTTGAATAATATACTAAAATTGTCATAAGAAAAAAAATCTTTTGAAGAAGAAATTCATTAATAAAAATAAGTAACTAACTTTTTAAGTACAAGAGAAAGAAGATATTCTAAAAAATAGATCAATAAGAGAACAATTTTGTCATTCAATAAGTAACTTTACAGACTATAAATAATATATACAAAACTAGATAAAAAAAAATCTTTTAAAAAATCAAAACTAAAAAAAATATTACTATTTGATATATTTGTCTAATAGACATGAACTAAAAAGTAAGCAAATACTATATATCCAAATATTTAAAAAAATATAAAATGATTCAAAATATTCATATCTATAAGATAAATATTAAGCCTAGAATCAAGACATATATCAATTATACAATTATCTTAATATTAATCCAAAAGCAAAATGGATAACTCTAATTAATATAGAAATATCAAGAACTATATTCTCGAAATCAAAATTAAGTAAAAAAAAAATTAATAATATTTTTATTAAAAGAAACAGTAATTAGCAAGACTTATAAATACAAATAAAATATATACTAGTTTTATAGCCAGGATATTAAATTATATTCAGGTTAAAGTATATTATATACTCAAAGACTCTTTACACTTAGAAAATAGAACTTTACAATAGTTTGTTTTTCAAAAAAATAATAATGCATATAATATTTTTTATAAAGATTATATCTTTTTTGAAATAAAAAATATTTTACCAACTTAAAAAAAAAAAATCCAAAAGAATAAATAAAAGCTTAGGTGCAAGATATGAATATAGAAAAATAGAAATAAATAAGAATTTATCTTTAGATACACTATCAGATACTGAATCTATAAAATTTATTCTTATATATAATAAAAATCAAAATAAAATAAATCAAAAATAAATTAAATATTAGCATAACAAAATAATAAGACAAGAAATCAATAAGCCTAGTAGATATCCTACAATAGAAAACAATAAAAAACTAATAAATCAAAAATACAATTATTATGAAAATACAAGAAAGAAGTCAGAATCAAAAGTAGAAGTTTTACAAGATTCTTTAAATTATATTCTAGCAAATTTTAAGAGATTAAACAATAGAATAAGTAAATTAAAGAAACAATTAACTTTCAATAAATTTAAATATGATAATAAAGAAGCCAACTGTTTTTAAGGATACATTAGTTGTATATAACAACTATGAGAAGCAAGAGCTCAATTCTCCTTAACAACCATAGTAAATAAAGGCAAAAAAGAATCAAATAAATATAATAACATAATGGAATACTATAATAATTTAAACATAATAATATTTTTATATGAGGAATGATAAATATTTTAATTAGAAAAACTTAAAATAAATTAAAATAAGAAGTAAACAACAAAGTAAAAAAGATTTCTAAAAGAGTAGTAAGAATAGATACATATAATATCTGAGTATTAAGATAAGACAAGTTAACAAAGTCTTATTAATAAAATACAAGAACAAAAAATAGGTATACTAGAATTATGCAAAACAAAATTAACCCAAACTAATGTATAATGAATTTTCAATAATTAAAAAGTCTATAAATATTTTTATAGTATTAACAATAATACCAGACAACTCTTTTCGCTGATCCTCTAATCACATAAAAAAAAATGTTTGCAAGAAGTTTTTAATACTTCTTTGCTAATAAAGTCTTAACACTCTTCTTAATCTAACCTGAAGGGAATTCTCAGGAGTCACCCATACCCTCTCCCTCTTGTTTACAATCAGCTTCGAGCAAACTGAACTCTTGTGGTCCATAAAGTTCAATTCATACCTTACTATTGATGGCAAGAAAGTTCCTAAAGGAAGAAGAACCATCAGTATGTACCTGTTACCACTCTTTTGAAGTGGAGGAACAAGACAAGTTACAATAGAGGTTCTGTCCCGAGTCAAGAACTCATCTTTTCCTCTCAACTTAGTTTTCT